TAAAACCTGTGCTGCACTGTGATTCCAATCATTGCGCAATCTACAAGTGGGGAAAATACAGGAGATGGAATGAATAAATGCCGACAGTAACGAAGACATCTCGATGCCAACAAAAAGCAATCATCAGCTATGTCTGGTCTAGCTGTGACTTCCTGTAAGAGAATAAAAAGAGAATGATACACCACATCGGATAATACAACTAAGAACTGGAAGAGTATATATCCTACTAAGCCAAATCATCCAACCTTGATACTTGTCATAAGACATGTTGTATGTGCAAAGAGTGTTTCAATCAGATTCTTCAGGTAGTCAGCACAAGATGGATCTGAACCAAAAATCTGCAAATCCCACGAAGATTAGACTCTCTAAAGCTTTTCTCTAAGCATTCAATTGATTGAAAATAACACAAATTACCTTTATAACTTCACTGGAGAGATAAAGAAAGCATGGCTGATGATGATGCTGATAATGGAATTGGATTTTTGCCAGCATTTCTCCAATTGTATTAATAATGTATCTTCCAGAAGTACGTACCTACAAACATAATTCCAACCATTGCCTTATCTTAGTGAAGTATCCTCTATCGAAATAGTTATCCGACAAATATATTCGGAATATGGAATGTCTTCCAACCAGAGAAACAAGAACGATACGGGTAAAATAAAAACTTCAAAAACGATGGTGTGAAGCTCACAGCATATTTGCATGCTCTGCATAGAGATTCCATTGTCCTCATGTCCCAAGGACGACTGCAGTAAAACCATTTCAAAGTAAGAGGCTACATAAAAAGTACTATGAAGAACATATGTCAATCTTCATGTGTCCAGAAGCACTCACGNATCGAAAATAACTCTGAATATAGCCCAATGCTTATTAATCTCAGCAGCCACAGCTTCAGGGTGGTTTACATACCTAGGGTGGTAGTATCTGTTAGAAAGACTAAACAAAACAAATGGAGATATATCGCATTACTGAGATAATATACAAACCTGAAGAGGTAGGCAAACCGGTCAATATGAACAGTTAATTCACGGGCATGCTTCTTGTCCAAATCTTCTTTCGCCGCTTCCTGGTTCACAGATTGACAGTTCCATCATTATACGTCTGACAATATATCAAACAACCATGAAAAAAAGTCAAGATGACGAACCTCTAGAGGAGAGGCGGCTGACAAGCATAATTTCTCAAGAGCGCTCTTGGCCTGGTCTAAAGGAAGTTCTGTAACAACCATACTGCATAATAAAAGTTTAGAGATGTTAATAACACACAAATGAGGAGATCATACTGCATAATAAAAGTTTAGAGATGTTAATAACACACAAATGAGGAGATACCCTAAAGCTTCAACGAGATTTAGCGAATCCTCGGCAGATACTTTATAACCACCGGTGCCATTAATTGCCATACCATAGATTTGAAACAAACTCTCAAAATACCCACAAAGATTTTTTCGGCAATCTGCAGTTAAAAGTTATATAAAACAGGCGTCAGATATTTACAAATAAAAGTTAACATTTTAAAACCAAAAAGAAAATACACCAAATCTAATGTATGCATATCAGTTACAACCCAAACACCTTCCTGTATTTCTCTCTTTGTGGGGAGAAGAGGAAAGAGTAAATTGATCAACAACAATAAAAAATCCACAAAGAACATTAGCTGTTAGATAGCTACAAGTTTTATATTTACTATAAGTATGATTTCACACCATATATCATAAAAAGTAATTTGTTGATGGCAATTGATGTAAAAGAAGACTAGAAAAGAGTATTCAGTCTAAGGAAAGCATACAACAAAATTCCAAATACTTGCCAGTATTGCAATGTACCCTATATGCTAGCAATTCAGTAGAGTCGAAGTCAGATCCGTTAGCGTAGGTTCCAGTCAGAATTTTCGACTAGCTGCCATCTTTGAAGCAGGTCAGTATGCAATCGAATTTTACAGAGGTCAGAACTTCATACTTCCTAAGAGAAAACTAACAACCAGAATTTAGTTTGCAACTGGAATATGAAACTGCTTAGCGTTATTCTGCCAGGAGAAATCAAGAAGAGAACTTAGAAAGCAGCCCTGGAAGAACGATAAGGATAAAAGGAGAGCTGGTTTAATCCTATATAACTATCAGATAGTTGGTTTAAACCAAAAAAATTTGCCATGGTCATGGACAGGAAACAGGAAAGAAAATTAGAGAGCCAGTTTTGTAGTATATGCTCGTCATTATGTCAATGTTATGCTTAGAAGAGAAAAGAGAAGAAAGGACTAGTCAAGTTCGCAAGAGCGAATACAATACCGTCACAGATATGCCTAAAAGCCAGAGCTGCAGCTGCTGCACAATCTTCAGATGTGCCCATTCCTTTCATAAGAATTGTAATGATCAAGGGCAATATCGAAACACTAGCTGGCGCAGCATTAAGCCATTTCGAATACGCCCCAACAAGTAAGCATGCTGAAATCAAAATAGATGTTTCTTCATTAAAGAAAAGGCTTCAGACACATTTGCTATTCAACTAGGAAAGAATTAAGTATAGCTTGGAAGGTTTCCTCAGAGCATACGCTAGTGGTTTCCACCAAGCAGCGTAACACCTTCTACATATAATATCTT